TTTCAGGAAAAAAAAAATAAAAAAAACAAATGTATTAATGGAAAATCCTCCAGAGAGATTAAGTCTGTATGTACAGCAATAAGCTGCGGCTTCGCACGTTGTTTTCCGAAAAACAAATGACATCATCACCTTCAGTCAGCTGCTCCAGCCGAGCCGTCACAAAACAGGGAAGGAAGTGAACACCCAGTGGCTGAAAAGATTATTCAAAAAGCCCAAAAGGAAAGTTGATCCCATGCATTATAGCCAGGTGTTCGAGTGGAGAACATAAGACCGTCCCAATTACCCGGCTTGCGGAGGAGAAGAAGAAGAAGAAGAAGAGCGAGAGAGAACGGTTGATACCACAGGTGGAAAAAACAGAGAGGAAGTATTCGTAATTACAGGGACAGGCCGAGACACAGTGAGGCGGTAATAGCAGACAATGACTGAAGCATCTGATGTGCCAATGATAGAGTTCCCATCTCGGTCGCCTGCAGCTGGTGCCTTGCAGGAGCTATTTGGGAAGAAATGGTTGGAATCTCCGGGTTGAATCCCCTGAACTTCATTCATTCACACCATCTGTAAGGAACTGGGAAAAAGCTGCAATTTTCCGCCTCAATGCATCCAAGTTGCATGACCTGGCTGCAGTATTTACCTTTCTTTAACAAACAGACACACTGTCACATTAGCACCAAAAACAGAATCCGACTATTATGATTTTATGGCCAAAACAGAGAGACGCACAACGTTAGATGCATTTCCATTGTCCAAACAACGGCACAATTTGAAATTGTGAAAATAAATTTGCTTCATGGAAACATGGCAATTTATAAACAAAAAAAAAAACTCTTGTTTTTTGACGAAAAAGCTAAATAAAACAAAATGTTTCTCGTTGAATGAGAGCACAGAAACAGCCACTCCAGGCAAAAGATTCACAGTTATTAGCCGTTTTCACGGATATTTAAACTCTAATTTGTTGGTTTTAGTAAAAATGTCTGAATGCTGGTTGTTTCAACAGAGCTGAAGACAAGCTTTTCAAATGAGCTCAGTTTGAAGTGACACCAGCATGCCAAAGGTAAAGCTAAACTGCATAGTGCACACATAAGGAAAATTGTGGCGAGGTTTACAATGGACGCTGGAGGACACTGGGTTTTTGTGTAGATCGGTTCAAAATTATACCAGTTTAATCTTAATTTCGGAGAATGCCAGGTGCCCCCGATCTAACCCGAGGTGCCAGATGTGGGACTAAACACGGACGCCGGCTTGACGTCGGGAAAGAAAGGCAAGAAAGGGAAGCATGAAAGACGGGATCCAAGAGAAACCCCTGCAAACAAAACAGTGGAAATGTAATCCCTCTCAAGTGCAAACAAGCCTGATGATTGGGAGGCACATGAGGGGGGCTGAATGGATCTGGCACGCCGAACAAGCCAAGGCATCACTCTCACTGAGCATCCAGGCAACGTGAAGCTGCCCCACCTCAGCTAACTTCTGTCAGAGCTTCACGAGTTCCTGAGGAAAGATGACAGGATTCCACCTCCCTCCCTTTTATGACAGCTGGCTGCTGTTGCTCATCTTCCTCTCATCAAAGTCAGCAAAAGCATACAGCTCTATGAGCTGCAGAGCAGGCGGCGGCTTGCTAACGGGTCACTGCGGCTACAACCCTTGCCCCCCCCCTCCCCGTTTCGTGCTCAGACGCACTCTGACCTCTGAGGTCACCGCGACCAATCGGCGGACAAACTGACAGCGGTGGCTCCGTCTAAAGAGCAGGGGGTCAGGAGGGCCTGGATGCTTACTCTGTCCTGGTACAGAGTTCTGTAAATTCAGTACATTTATGTCTGCGTTTAAAATTATTCAACTCATTTCAGCACTGCTTCTTAATACCAGATCGGTATTGTCGGATGTCAAACCTCTGACATCGGTATCGGTATCAGAAGTGGAAAAACGTGGATCGGTGCGTCCCTCGTGAAAAGCTCGCTCTTTGATCTTCGCAGTGCCGTTTGTTCGCTGACGTCCTCTGACAGACCTCAGAAGGCCTTCGCGCCACAGCTGGCTTTAGACCGTCTGTGGGGGAGCAGCGCGCCTGAATCGTTTCATACCACTGGGTATTCCCCCGCGTAAAACCAAGCTCAAGATGTCTTTTCTCACACCTGCACCGACACATTCACAAACACAGGATTTTATAGGGACTGGGGAGACATGCTCCACTGCTTGCGTGAACCACACAGGTCGCAGACTCTTAGATGTGGGTCTGGGAGAGGAACAACAGAGGCCTTTTGAGAGCATGTTAAAGCTGCTCTATGTGGTTTATAGGGTTCCTAATACGCCCTGCGACAAAAGTGTTTGGACTTCTCTCCGAGCAAAGATTGGCCATGAATTTGGTGCACCGTCTTCCCTGAGACGGCATCCACAAAAATAGGAATAAAAAAAGGGAGGAATGGAAACGGTCCGGGTGAGTTCAAGAGCCAGACTGAAAGCTGAAACGGAGCAGCAGCATCCAGTCAAACCAAACATCCAGCCCTCCTTCTCAGATCACATTTGAGTGGATACCCCGCTGCGTCTCCACTCTGAACACCATCAGAACTTTATCGTAAGCGGTTCTTCTGACCCACAGCGTCAAGACTCATTGGGGTTTTCAAAACGAAACGTCATAAACGTCTCTGCACACTTTCCTTTTGCACATCAGCCAGACCAAGAAACATGTTGTGTTTACAGCAGAACATGTCAAATTTAGAAATCTGAACATGGGATTTCGTCTGACTGAGGGAAACCAAACAACAGCAACACAAAAGCTAAGCAAAACTAGCTTGGATTCGCTCTGAGGATCAATCGGTAAAGAACTGGCTGTTGGAGGGGAACTAATGAGTGGACGGGCGCCTGAGAGAATGAAATCAGAGAATGGGGGACCCACAAATCAACCCCTGACTATCAGCCCTCCCTCTGGAATGTTCCACCCTGTGGCACCTGCAGGGAGCGGGAGACAAGTCTCACCAAGCTGCAGAGGGATCCGGGGGGAAAAGATGGGGGCAGAACTGTTTTGGGAACCAAAAAGTGACATTCACATTTTAAAACTGACACTGAATGTAAACTTAAACACAAGTAATGAAAACCTGAAAGGGTCCGTTTATATGTGTAAATCCAACAAATGACGAAATCGAACTTCAAAAACGGTTAAAAGATGATTCATTATAGCAAGTTTCCTTCTCCTTCGGATCCATAATATCAGAAAATTAAGGAATTGCAACATTATGTCTGGAAAATGCGACTCTTGTTGACATCGGTTAGCTTTGGTTCCTCAACCGGTTGGGGAAATTAACAAATGTTAATCGCAAGTTTCAAACAAAGCTACCGAACACCCTCGCACACACGCAGAGTCAGGTTTGTTCCCCCAGTTTGAAAAAGTAAAATAAAAATATTTAGGCTAAATATCCATGGTATCGTCACAACAAATAAACAGCACTCTGATATGTAACACTAACACAAATATTGTCATTTGTGGAGTTTGTGATGAGCCAGAAAAGCGTCTTCTTTTGGAAATACCAAAAAATCCCCACAGCATGATCCTGCCGCCACCGAGTCGGGCTAAATAAGCCCCTTTGATTGCCCACTTCATAACTAAATCTCGACCTTATTGGAGAAATTTGCTCAGACGTCTGACACGTTTCAACAGAGTTTGTCTCAGAATACGTGGTTGGATGATTTTGTTCTCACTTGCAAAGTCGTCGTGTCGACTCCGAGTCAAACTCCGATTGCATTGATTTTTTCTCAAAACACAAACTTTGGGCTTCACTTACAAAGGATGCAACTTACATGCCTATAGGCACAGACCACCCAAGTAATGTATCAATCAATGCTCTCACACATCTATTCAGTTGACCAATTACACACACACACACACCACACACACCACACACACACACACACACACACCCACACACCCCCCACCCCCACACACACACCTCCCCACACACACACACACACACAACAAAACAATCAGGGAGGTGGTGCTGGGGGTGGAGGGCTCAATTTAAAGTCAATGCAGCTCCATCAGCTGATTTATGTTGAAACACAGGAGGTTTTCCATCACTCTGCCTACTTGGCTTTCAGCTGATAAATTCCTCTTATCTGGCATTTTTTTCATCTTTTTTTTCTTTTTTTCTGTCTTCAATTGAAACTCGGATATAAACCCAGTTATTAATCACCAAACAAATACTATTTTAACCCTTTCTGAAAAGAATGAGACCTGAAAAACGTGGAAAGAATGAATCCGTTTTGCTTTTCTTGCACAGCTGGCCAGATGTTCATTAGTAAACTATAGAAACATTTCATCTAATTTTCTACACCAGTAGATTCTTGTTGCTTTAAGCGGGCAATGCTGGTAAATTGACCAATCATTAAAACGCCTCATATAGAAGCAAATATTAGACAGTCGTGTCACAATTCAACCTCTTGATGGTTTTTTCCCCCAGCCCCCGCCATGATGCTGCCACCACCTTGTTTCGCCCATTACAAATTGTGTTTTCCTCCATCTCTCCTAATGATCATTCATCTGCCGTCATTTTCATGACTTTAGGTTTCACGCCGGGGAGGCCCAGGCCAGAAAGAGGCAGAGAAAACACAAATGTATGCTGGCGAGCTAAAAGGTGTGGCTTAGACAAATCCTGTAGCGCTAATGAACCTCGTGAATATTCATCAGGAGGGCGGGGCTTGCAATGCAAATGACTGTGAGCGGGTCAGCTCAAACCTCGGCTGCATTCACGGCGCCCAGGGCGCCCTTAATAAGCTTTCCATGAAGTGATCCGCAACTGGGACAGAAAATAGAAGCACTAATTCAACAACATGAGCAACTAAAGTGCCATGTGACACTCATTGAAACCAATTCCAAACTGTGAAGGAAAAATAAGAAAAACTTTTTAAAAAATAAACAAAATCTTGGTTTTAAAACGTGTGAGAGCGGCTCGCGGAGCACGCGGAGAGCCGCTTCACCTGCAGGACCAACAGCAGCCTAAAAAACAACCGGTACTTACTCCGTGCGTAGACCTCAGCGCGCAGGAGACAGTCAGCACACAGATCCTGCAACGGAGAGACATTTTTGGTTTACTTTATAAGACTTATGTGAGGGAGGTTTTTTTTGTTTGTTTGTTTTTTTTTTTTCTGGCAGATGACCTGCACTGGAGCTGTGATCGTGCACCGCACAACCTGCGTGCTTGGGGCATCATGAGTTCGCAAGGGGGGCTTTTTTTTTTTTTTTTTTTTTTTTTTTTTTTGCATCAACAACAAAAACAAAAAGTAGAAGAGGAGAAGTATTCTTACAGGAATTTCATTTTGTTATCCGCCTGGCTGCCACAGACTAGATCCCCCTCTCGTCACCGGCACGAAGCACCTCAAACGCGCTCATCGGCGGCTCCAGAACCTCCACTCCTGTGTCATCTGCACGGAGAGAAGAGGAGACAAAGTAGTCCCTCCGCCGACACTGAGAAAAGCCCTTCGCAAGTTCCGCGCTCGCGCGCGCTGCGAATATAGCACAAAAAAAAGAACAAAAAAAACAGAGAGAGAGAGAAAACATGAACAGAAATGTGGCCAAGAAAGTAAGGAGTTTGTTCCCACTCACCGAAGTCAAAGCGGTGCAGAAGCTGCTGCGCTCTCCGAGCTGCTGCGCTCTGGGCTCAGAGGCGGAAAGCAGCGGAGTGGCGGAGGAGGGGCCACACGTTCAAACGCACACACACACGCACGCGCGCCTCCTCACGCACACATGCACGCAACCTCACACACACACATACTCACGTCGCACGTGTCAGCGCTTCCACAACCGAGAATGCAAAAAGCACACCATCTGAAATCAAAGCTGAAAGTCTCTCTGCCATCAGCAGTGGTTCGCGATTATACCATAAAAAAGTGCCAAAACTTTTTTTTTTTTTTTTTTTTTTGCATGACGATAAAAACCACAGACTGAACAATTGAGTTGTTTTTTATTTTTGTTTTTTATGTATGTGGTTTTTCTTACCATTTAATATATGTTAGTGTTGCACAAATTCTTGCCAGGTGAGCAAAAAAGCACATAAAAACTTCTTTTTTTTTGTATTTCATTTATTTATTTTTTTAATTGTTCTCTTCCTGTTATCGTGATCTAATTGTGAAGCGCCACAAAGCGGGTCTGTTTGTACTCCACACACAGTCCTGCTGAGTTACTCAAGTTGCAGACAGTCCTCTTTTAGCGCCAGCGCTCTATTTTTATTCATCTTGACCTGAGCCTTCAACGCTGTTTTCAACAGCCTGTTGATGTGTCTCTTACGCGGACAAAGTCATAAAAGATACATCTCAATAATGGATCATCTGAAAAGAAGGATCTCAGTAGGTGATTTTTGTCTTTTTTTATACATATATGTATATGTGAGTCATCTCCATTTGCTCTAACATCCGAGTTAAAATGTGCATAGAAAAAAAAACGATCAGGTGTGAGGTTCCTCAAGGCTGTACTCTCGGGCCACTTTACTTCAATGTACGTCCCACTGCATAACCTCTTTCCTTTCACGTACCAATCTAATAAATCCATTTATTTATTTATTGTCACATTACCTTGTTCGAGTCAACGTGACAGGATGTTAATAAATTATGTTTTTTTTTGGTGCCCAAAACTGTTATCAAAGCGAAAGACCAGCATTTGTTTATCACTTCATCTATTGTTTTTGGCCCACTAATAAAGAACGTGTCTGCTCATTGTTCATGTCTGTTCATAACAATAGTCAGAGAAACATTTGAAGAGTTTTCAAGTTTGGGCCGAAAGTCCTGAGTTTTGATTCGCGCGGCTCGAAACTGGAACCAAAGCGGCCAACTGCACCTGCGAGCAAACAGATGGCAATCTGGAGATCCACGCCGTGATTTGACTGAGCCGCAGCCTCCGCGACACGTTCGGCTCACCTGTCACCCGCGTCATCCCCATCCACCTGCAAACGGATCAAAAGTGGAAAAAAGGGGGCGACCTTTAAAAATCGCACAGGAATGCAACATGCCCAGACTTACAAAAAATTTTAAGGGAAAATGTCAAAACACTTTTTTTTTTCCACGCGCATTTTTTTTTGGGGGGGGGGGGTGGGGCAAAGTTGTATCCATCCGCGCGCATCCGGACTGGATAAAGTTTGTTTCTTTTCACTTGAAACCCGATCTGAAATGAATGATCCACACCTGAAAGTACTTTTTGCATCAGGTTATATACATATATATATTTGATATTTTTGCACTGTTTTTTTTTTTTGCTCTGTTGCAAGATGCATGCGGAGCACAAAATCACTGCGCTCCAGAGTGTCGGAGTCGCCGCACATCCGGGGGTGGGCAAGTTGCTAGTCGAGGGGAGGGAAATGGAGTGGAGAAGTGGGAACGAGAGAGGAGAGAGAGGGGAAGGTGGGGGAGGCAGGCGGGGGTGAACTGCAGAGGCGCACCGTGCCAGAGCCTGGATCACTACAGGATCTCGCTGTGTGAGCGCAGCAACAGCCGCGGGAGCGGGGCCGCCTATCTGCTCACACTTTTCCGCGTCCCCGAGCCTGCAGACGGAGTTTGGCGCACAGAGACATGACACGCACATAGAGAGACGCGTTCGGTGCTCGGTAACGCAGGTGGATCGCGGTTTTACTCCTGCGAAGATGACCCGAGGCTTGAGGCGCCTGCGACAGCCTGCCTGGGTTGTGATTTGGCTCGTACTGTACGCCGCCGTGCAACTGTCCGACTCTGCGGTAAGTGCGCTTTTCTGTTTGCGGGGGTTTGTTTTCCCCTCCTTGCACAGATTTTTATGATTGTTGTGATTCTGGTGGGGGGGATTTTTGTGTGTGTGTGTTGTTGGGTTTTTTATTTATTTTTTATTGGTGGGAGTGGATGGGGGGGCCCAGGACCCACGCAGCATGATGAGACACGCCGCGCTCACCGAGCCGGCGCCGGGACGGACTCCGCCGCTTCGAACCGAGTCCGGATAAAACATAAAAAAGAAAGAGAGCGAAAGAGGGAGAGACAGAGACTTGCTTCGTAAACACCGTCCGCGATGCTCGCATGTCAATAATAAGCCATGCAATCCGCGCGTTTGCGCTTCTTCCCCAACTTTTGGTGCACCGCTTGTTCACCACGAGAGCAGCCTCTTTGCTTTTGTAGCTTTCATGGCAGCTAAACTTCCCTCCCCCCCCAACACACACCCACCCTACCCCCTCCCTCCTGCTCTCAACCCCGGACCAGGGCTGCATGAGCTCCGGGAGAGGAGAGGAGGCAACCTGCAGCAACATCCCAGCCAGGGAGCAACTCGCCCACATTCACACTTCTTCTCTTCTTTTTTTTTCTTTGTGCAGATTGCATGTCATTCCACGCAGTGTGAAAGATTCAGGAAAATGAAATAAATAAATAAATAAAAATCTACACATCAAATTTATAAAATCTTGCAGCATTTTGAGTGAGTAAATTGAGTAAATTGCAGTGAGTAAATTGAAACTTCAGCTAGTTGAGGCTGATTCTCCTTTTGCAATATTCTTGTTCCGTTTAGCATCTGTTAGAGGGATAGCAAGCCTGCAGGGAACCACCCCGGAACCCCCCTTAGATTCGTCCCTGCCCCAGACGCTAAAAATCTGACCTCCCCTGCCATCTTAACGAGGACATCTTTCTGAAGTTCCTCCTTACACATGATCTGGATTCAGGACGGAGGTGTGTGTTATCTCTTGACACCCTGCGGACAAAAATGACTGAATGCCTCTCATGTCATGTTTCAGCAGCTCTCTCTCTCTCTCTCTCTCTCTCTCTCTCTCTCTCTCTCTCTCTCTCTCTCTCTCTCTCTCTCTCTCTCTTTTCCACATATTGGATGTTCCCACCTCATTAATAATTCAGAGATTCTGCTGGATGATAATCCCGCCCATAATCTAGCTCTGTCCAATCAAGCTTGCTCTCGTTTCTGCTCCTATTCTTCTTGTTTTTTTTAACTCCTCCCAGAGACTTTTCTTGCATCCCCCATAACTGAAGCATCAGCTTGTTTACATAACATGCAATACGCGATTTAATATTTCGTTTAAATATTTTTTGAAATATTACATTTCAGTCACGATTGTGCAAAGCTATATATATATATATATATATATATATATATATATATATATATATATTATATATATATATATATATATATATATATGTGTGTGTGTGTGTATATATATATATATATATATATATATATATATATATATATATATATATATATATATATTTTTTTTTTTTTTTTTTTTTTTTTTTTTTCAAGAATTGCCTTGGTGTATTTAACTTAATGTATGCGGCCCTTTCAGTGCATTCTCCAGAAAACTGGTTTTTGGTTGTATTGTAAAAAAATTCACAAAATAAAAAAAGAAGCACATGACTGGGATGAGATCTGCTTCACATTTATTATTCTCCATAAAAGTAGGCTGAAATTGCATCCGCTTCAGCAGGAATATGGGTTGTGAGGAAGGTGGTGCTGAAAGTAAAGGGGGGCAAAAATAAAATAAAATTCAGTGAAAGTGAAAGTGCGTCGCTGGATTTGAGAACAGATGTTTGAGTCTCGTACTTTTTCACTGACCGTATCAGCGAGTTTATTTTCGTCAGAGTAAATATATAAGCAGACCTTGAATCCAGTGTGAGTCAAGGAGAAAACCATCTTGCAGCAGTGGAGATGTTGGAGGGAGTCTGGTCTCACTGACTCCCTCTAGTGGCGGCTGGCTGCGTGCACAACACTCGTCAAAGCTCACTGAGTTACCTCACTGGATGCAACATTTTTAAGTAATTGCTCATTCACTTTGATGCACAAATGGCATTATGGGTAGATACATCACTTTCCAGGAGGAAATCCTATGAAACTCCAAACTGGGGGAAGCTGATGTATTTCAGCAGATTTTCATCACAAATCTTTTCGCAGACTGTTTCCTTTCCATTTCAGAACACAAAAGTTGTAATAAAAAGAGAGCGTCACGCACCACTTGTGCTCTGAGAATTAAAGCCGGCTTCAATACGAATCTCCTCAGCGCCAGGTGAGCGAGTTCAGCTGTAATGTACACTCCAAGGTTCTTCCTTTGAACTCCCTGCAAACCACAACACACACACACACACCCTTGGTTCGGAAGCTCGCTCCCCTGCGAGCGCATGCGCGCCCCGACGTGGGTTCCCTCACCTTTACACGTGACCTGGAGCCCAGGTGGAGATAGAGGTGGAGGAGGTCGACTGTTTGCACTTAGTCATAACATCCGCGCAGAGATATGTCGGCGACGTATGCAGCAGATAACAGATTATGCCTTCCAGAGGAGGAAATCTGTACATTCTCTCTTTTTACGGCATTTCTCATTTGTTTGTTTGTTTGGTTTGGTTTTTTTTTCATCATGATTTTTCTTTTGTCCCCTGGTAACGCTTTTTATTTGTCTGCCATCAAATGACCCTCCTCTGTCTTGTTTAAACGTCTATACTTTGTAAATAACACTTTCAAAGCGCATCTTTTATTCCCTGCAAGTTCTATGAACGAGTTTGGCGGCTCTGACTTGACGGGTTTGGTTTTTGTTTTTGTCACCAGATGACATGGCTTTAAAGGTAGAATAGACATTAGCCCGCATTGTTTTGTGTTCCTGGTGTTTCTTGGTTATTTTTTTAAAAAAGCTGTAATAACTCAACATGTATTTTATTTTGAGTAATTTCAAGATTATGGTTGAAAT